GCCGTTCGAGAGTGTTTACCCGCATTTCGCAGAACTTCGCTTCTTTCTCTTTAATTAGACCTGCTCATTATTAGTTCTTCTCAGAACTAAATCTATAATTCACTCAATTATATTACGTATTGCTCAGCTCTTTATTGTGACATTCAAGTGTAATTAGTGACTCTTTTTGACAATTAAACTCGACTTTCTTGACCGCGAGTGATTAATTGATCCTCTCACGCACCCTCCTGTAATCCGAAAATATCTAGTGGATCTCCTAAAAATATCCCCAAAACCAGATTCTGCATCGAACACATGCAGTTATTGTCCCATGCTTCTATCTTGCATTTAAATTAGCGTCGACTTGGCGCCATTTGTTCACAACATTTTTTTATGATTTTTTTTTCCATGTTAATAATTACCAAACAAATGATGCAATCAAAAGTATTGGTACCTGATTTAAGCCTCTCTGACATGTGTTAGTTCATCATAGTAATTTTCCTCAACGAAATATAATTTAAATACTCATGTTTTAGTTTTTATTCAGTCATTCAAGTTGATTATTGAAAAATATCACATAAAAAATTTAAATTTGGAGGTAATATTTTAATTCATATATTAACACTCGATTCCAATTGTTAAAGGGTAATTCACAAATATTAGGTTATTTAGGTAATTAACTTTAACTGAACTAAAATTTTTAATTTGTTTGTTATATTCAAATCATTAAATTATTAACAATCGATTCCAATTGTTAATGAGTACTTCACAAATATTAGGTTGTTCAGGTAATTAATTTTAACTGAACTAAAATTTTTAATTTCGTTGTTATATTCAAATCTTTAAATTATTAACAATCGATTCCAATTGTTAAAGAGTGGGCACAATTCCGATTACTTTGGCGCCGCGATTTAACGGTTGTTTTCCGAACTATTATGTCTCGCGAGTTCGAGAAAAATAATGAGAAAATTCCCTCTTCACTGTATTTCGAGATATAGAGGGAAAAAGGGGCAAAATGGAACCCTTTTTTTTTGAAAAATATGGTTTTCATTTTATATATTACTGAATGAATCTGAATCTATAATATCATATTATATGAAAATTTCTAGCCTTTTTTAAACCTTTACACCATCTAGCGGATTGTTCAGGAATTATATAAATTCGAATGAAATCTTGCTGCCATTGTTTTTCTTCATTCTCCTTTGTTTTTCAAAGCGTGTTAATCAGGTAGCGAAGCAAATTAGAGTTGTTTTGTGATTTTCAAGTGAATTAAAAGTGTTAAAATATCTAACACATCCTCTCATCCTCAATTGCATCCAAAGCTTGCTCATTTTTCTATATTTAACTCATTTGGAGGGCTTGTTCAAACAAACAGACTTTACCTCCACGTGGTGTATTCTGGGTAACGCCAAAACAGTCTGAAGATAAAGCCAAAAACTAGCCAAATTCCCCCTCACATCTCTTTTTTTTGTGCTAATAAGCATGTAGATTTGAAGGCATAAAAAAAGCGGGGTCCAGGGGCGGAGCCCCTGGTAGGGGGTTGGGGGGGCGAAGCCCCCCCAGTCAAGAATAAAAATTGGCTTTATCATTAAAGATAATAATTTGGGAAAAAATCACAGAAGTAATTAACTATGTAATTAAACAAAAACAACAACAAATAGTTCATT